TTTAGCCATGCTCATAATAACTGCTTCCTCCACTACTAGGTCAGTTAGTGACTTATTTACTCCCATAATACGTAATATCTATCTACGTATGTAGATACATATAGTTGCATGGACTCTAAAGTAATACGGATGTCAAAGGCCATTATTTTAAGCATCAATCGCTCTTTATTGTTCTAAAGCCATATTCTATGTATATGTGCATATTTATACGACGTAGTGGCACCTCTAACCCCAAAACATTGGTTACTTTGTCATATAATGTCTCTGGATAATTCAACGCGTTTTCTCTCTAATGAGCCGCATTCATTCTCTAAAAAAACACCCACAACAAAGTACGCGGAACCGACGGATGGCTAAGTTCTGAAAATGAGTGAAAGTCCAAGCTTACACAAGATTACCGAGACCATGGAGAGAGAGAGAAAGAACACACAAACTCCTTCACAACTTTATCCCACCCACCACCGCAGAAGAATATTGCGAGATGAGAGAACACGTATAAAGTGCACAAACAAACAAGTCCGGCGTCTATGTTGCCATCCTGGACTCGCGAAATACCTACCAACCACCATTGTATACCTACTGCCAAAAAGTAATCTCATAAACATACACACAATTTACAATGACATAATGGTCACCTCGTCAGGATTATGGGGGATATATGTCTTAATAAGCTATCCTCTGACATGGCCAAATATGCCAATATTCGCAAATTTAAATGAGGTCGTATTTTATGTAGGGAGGAAGAAAACCAATTAATTTTTGTGCACAATCGAGTGACAGGTTAAAATAGGCAGCACACATATCAGGCAGGCAAACGAAGGAGAAAAGCTCCCAGTACCTGCATGTGCAATATATACACACACATATAACATCCTTTCACATGAAGATGAAACAGCAGGCGACTTATTACGACGACGACGACGACGACGACGAGTATATGCAGATGTGCATATGCCCAAAATCCTGTGCGAGGTGGTTTAACTTGGTATATGTATATGGACATATATCCCATTTTCCACCATATATTTATTCTGCCATGTCGACGCTAGGGAGCAATATGCTGTATGTAAAGGTAGTGCATTTAGGATGGACGGGGATGATTGAAAAAAAATCTTACTTCACTTTTGCACAATGACCAAATTACAACGCACTTGCAACTTACAATTTGTAAGGATGGATGAGTACGAATTGAGATCTGACAGAGTTAGATGAAGAAGAAGAAGGATAAAAGACTTGACTTTTTTTATTATTTTCAAGAGAAGAAAAGCGAATGGCAATCTTCCATGCGAATGTCAGAGTTTATTATAATAAGAGGATAGAAAAACGATGCTTGTGTATATGTAGACCCATTTCAATCTAAAAGTATTTATTTAATAATCTAATTGCACAATTTATTAATCAAACTCGTATTCAAACTTGGATGCAAATTTGTAGCCAACTTTATGTAATAAAAATAAATTATTTAGATCAAGCATTTTTCTCCAATCTGTGGGAGTGTGTCCAGATTCAGAGGATAAAATAATAATCAAGTGCATCCAACCAGCCAAGGATTCTTCATTCTAAATGTGGTGGCGTTGGTGGTGGTGGTGGTTAAAGTTGGATTGCTTACGTCGGAATTATTTGCAAACATGCTGGTGCATAGTAACTGGCTTTTTAATTTTAACACGATATTCATCCAACTTTGCTTTATTAAGTATTGTGCCGCAGAGCTATTTGCATACTGTACTCGCAAGGTTTTATTAACATCATTTTATCCCCTTTTGATAAGTCATTGAATTTGCTGGATTAGCAGCAGGAGCAGGAGCAGCAGGTTGACAATGGCGAGGTATGCATGTCGTTGGAGTTGTTTGATTATTATTTTGGTGCTTTCTTGTTGTCATTACTTATCTCTTTCTCATCATCTCGCCATCTCCTCTCACTCAGTCTCAGTGAAGTAAGTAATGTGGTAGCACATAGGACCCAACTGGGACGACGAAATAAGTCACGGCAGAGAGTTTATTTTCTTCATCTCTCCTAAACTGCAAAGTGTTTCGTCCTTCTGACTGGATTGGACTTGAAGCCTCGTTCAGCACTTTAACCAGCTACACAGCAACTCGAAAACCAGGCAATTTCAGATGACTATAATAAAACTGGAATGGAAACAACAAATAAAATGCGTGGACATGACATGGGAGTGAACTGGAATCTCCGTTATAACTGGTTTCCCCTCTCTCAAAGGCGAGATGACTGTAAATGCTCACAAAACATGCACATTTCGAAAGCAGCAGGGATGATAGTGCAATATATATGCTTAAAAAACAGTTTTAGGAATATATATGTATTTCATGAAAATGGTAAAATATCGTGTTCAATTGACAGTTTGGTTTATACATTGCTGAGGAAAATGTATAAATATGTATATAATTCTCTGGTGGTTATGATGATATGCAAAAGCCCGTTTTTTTAAAACCTCTCATCATCATACGTTGAGAATTTCAATGGCAAATTTGCAAGTAATACATACGTGCTAACATTGTCCTCACTGCTTATTTGCTTGTTTTTAACGATGCAAATATAAATTTGCACTTTGTTTAAGTTGGTGGTAGTTTCGGTTGCACTTGCACAAGTGGGTTTTGGGCAGGTCCTAATAATAATGGTCCCACCACAGCACCACCATCCATCGTCATATTTTATACGGAAGAAGCGTCAAGCGAAATGATTTTAACTTGGACGCTAATGCACTTTATTACGGCAGCAGAGAGAGGTTTGCTTGTCAAGTAGTGAAGCTTTAAGCCTTGCTATAATTCCCTCTCTCAGAATATAAGTCGCCTAAATTTGTCAGTCTGATACATAAAACTGCAACACTTGAATTAATTCACAGCAGCAGCAACAACCTCTTCTCTTCTCTGGGTTTCATAACTTGATTCATATTATTTATTCGCTCTCCTTCATGGACACAATATGTTGCGAAGCTAAGCTCTGTGCTAGTGGTTTAGTAGTGTCGATGACATAGGACGCGTATGGTGTCAATTTAGCATATGTATAAGAACAACATATGAAGAACTAGCATATTAAATGTGCTTCATCCTTCGTCTTGTGTCAGTCATCGAGAGAGACATTTCACACAGAAACGGTTTTGGCATAGTTATCAGTGGTACTTCTACTAACTCTCATTAGAGTTGTTGGCACAAAAAGTTTTGAGGAATTGACAGAACAATAATGAATGGATGGATGTACAGTGCAAAAAGAAGTTGGGGGTACTTGAAACCAAGAAACAGCACATGCACACACACACATTTTATAAAAAGGTGAGAAGAGCGATACACTTTACGCTCAAGTAGTAGCAATGGTCTTGGCGACTTATTTCCTCTCCTTAAAGGGCACAGACCCCTGTGATATGCATGCACACTCATTTCATTATAAATCAATGGTTTGCATTGATCAGATGAATGGTGTTATGCGGCAGGCAGGTAAGGTAAAAGGTAAGCATGAGAAGGTAACCAGGCGTATCGCATCACAAGTGGTGAGTAATAATACTCATAGGTAGAGAGAGACTATGGCATTGTATCTCAACCAGCATATCATCATAATAACAAAGTTTGGTTCTTGAATTGCTACACGATGGTGGAAATTGGAAACGAAAATGACTCTTGCGATGTGAAGGAAGAAGGCTCAGTCAGAGGTCGTAATGCTGCTCTTTCATTACGTATTAAACACAACAGAGAAGTTGAAATTGAGCTTACACCATTATTATTATTATGGGACTTGTGTATATGCATGCACTGCTATTACTGGTTCATATGTAATGATCCCACAGGCCTCGCAAGTAGCAGCAGCAGCAGTTAAGTTAGTTTTGGTGGTAATACATAATATACGTCAAGACATATATGCATGCACGTATGTATGTATACACTTATTATGATGGGATGAGTGAATTGAATTAGCTCTAGTTGTTTTTGGCGTGCTTGGTTAAATGAGAGAATTGGTGAGGTTGTTGCTGCTTTACTTATTTGAGTCTTTTTTTACTCCGCAAGTAGATTGCAGAGGTGGAAAAGAAACGCATCTCTGTATCACGATCAAAGTTTTAAAGCGATTAGAATAAAAGAGCAAACATGGCAAGAAACTTTGTATGACAAAGATATTTTCATCAGCATGGAGCGAGTATGGCGTGGTAGGGCTGAGTGATTTCTTAAATCCACTCTGGTGGTAATTAGAAAAGGAAAATGTGCATTATAATGGATAATCTCAGCTTATTTAACCCTTATTCGATCCGTTACACAAAGTAATATACACAGGAATATAGATGGATGGATGTAGGTGAGTGATGTGGTGGTGGATGATGTGACTGTACATAAGCAAAGCAAAGTTATCACAATTTCATTCTCGTTTTTTTACGAAAAAATTTGCACTCATTCATTCGCTGATCTTGATGGTTTGGTGGGTTATTGACTTTTTATTGAAGCCAATCATGCCAACTTGAGCAGAAAAAGTCCTCCCACTTGGGAGCATGATAGCTTTTCTTTGGAGGCCTTTTTTTCCTTTGATTGTTTTCCTTTTGGTGACATTAAAAAGTTAATGGGCTATACAAAAGTAAATCAAACGGCTCAAAATATAGTCGGAATGATGATCCTTTCAATTTATGTACGCTCATAACAGCTCATCAACATGTTTATTATTGGCTCTTGGTCAATAAGTATTTATCCCAGCATAAAAATAAAATATTGAATGTCCATTATTTATTAGTCAGAATATGATTAATTAGCGTGTGTGTCCTACAATGGGATACTAATTATGCAACTACAAATGTATACTAAAACCACGAGCCTGGTGTAACATAATCATGAGGAATTAAATTATTGTCCATCCATGCATTTATGTGGTTCTCTGGTGGGTGGGGAAAACTATGTACATATTTATTAAGCGATAGCAAATGAAATGGATGCCATGAGCTAAATTTCTCTTGGTGGGGACATCATGATCCAAAGCAAAGCCTGGAATGACATTAACATGAGACAAACAAAGTTCCAACATTCTTGTTTTATTGTTTAAACGCAATTAGCAAATCGAATAAATTAAATATATATGTACGCGTACGAATTATAATGATACATTTATGTTGTCAAAACCATACGTATAAGTACAATAACATGATTTTGGCTTTGGTACTGTTAATTGACCATGTCAAACTCCTTGTCCAAAACCCCGCAATTATTGATTGACTTGATATTTCAACTTTTCATAATTTAATCGAATTAAGCAACACAATGCTCGGATGAGAAAGCAAATTCAATTAACGATGCTATTTAGTCGTGCTGGGCTTTTAAATGCAAATAAATATGTGATGAATGCTCTATGGATGAATGTGAATAGAAATATGTATGCGACCTACTATTCCGAACTACATGTAACGTAAACAATATCAGTTCAGCATTTCAATTTGGAAGCAATACTTTGCAAATACGCATGCCACATGTGTGTAAGGCATACATATATATATTTTAATAATAATAGTTAGAATATTTACTCACAAACACACACTGCAACAACATATTAACCGACAACAGGGTTAAAGTGACAATTATTCTATTCATGTCATGAGTATGTAATAACACTCCCGTTGTAGAATATATATAGGTTCCTCTCAAATGCACATTCAAATCAGCAGATCTAACCAACCTAACTTTAAATAATAGTGACTTAATTTTAAAGGTAAATGAACTTTTCTATTAGCTAGACTCCAATTTCAATCGTGTCGACGCTTCTTCCTCTTTCATTCCCAGAATTAACTTTTCTTCTTGAAGCAGCTCCTGTGATGCAGTAATAAGGTCTCAGGTTTGTGAGGCAGGTCAGGGTCAGTATTGTAAAATTAAAACTCCGTGTAACAATATTCTGACTAAGAGGCAAGGTCAACCATATATTTGCCAACTAGTATTTAGTGTTATTTGTTTATTAGTAATAATCATGGGCAAGTTTTGGTGTGAGCACTAAGTGTTCCTACTTATTTAAATAATATGTATTAATATTCAGATCGGCACTGTTGTATGGAACATGTGGATCATGTCCTAAGAATAGCGTTACTATTATTAAGCTACAAATGCAACAATAAATGATGACTTATAAATATATGTCTTTCTCACTGTACTACTGACTATTATGACTGTAATATAATATATTTATATGCATATATCAGATCGTTGTATGTTCTTGGCATTTTGTTTTCTATCCGTACGAGAATACAATTTGTGGAGAAGAGAAGAATGAAACAGGAATGATAACACGATTAATGTATAAGAGACACCATTTTTTCTGGAATTTGTAGTTTAAATACATAGTTTTAGATTTAGATAATTATTAAATAATTTCTCTTGCAGGTAGTGACAGTCTCATGTAAAATAGAGCTACATCATCATCATTAAATGCATATCAGAATTTTTCATCTTTTGAGTGCTACAATTCTTTTAAAAAATGCTTGACTAAGAAAAGTCGGTAAGTAGATGAGAGCAGTAAAAAAAAAGAGCTGTAAATTGTTTTTTCTCTTCAATATAATTCACCTGGCTAACTAATTGAAACGGAATTAAATGGCGATTAAAAACGAGAATTATTATTTAGCATGGTATACTGATCTCTTCGAATGCCAGTGTTTCTGCTCATTTGACTAGAAATATCAAAGCGTAAAATTTTAAACTAAAGATCCACAAATTGAATATGAGTGGTTATAACACTTGAGTATAACTGTTGCTGTCAATAGTTTTTTGTGCACTAGAAGAGATTCTGTGACTGTGGTGCTTGTAGCTCATAAATTGGTAACTGCTCTGTTCTACATGTATAATATTTAAGTATTGTGTGAATATATCTACATAATCTACCGAGTCGTACGACGATGAGATGACAGAATGGCTTGTTTACTTGTAATTTGTTTGGCAGGTATTTCTCAAAATCAGAACAAGTACCTAGTGACATTTGTAGAGATTATAAAATTTTGTTGATACAGATGGGAACTTAATACCGTGCTGTTTTTAAGATTAGATATATATATATACATATACATAGAGTATAGCAATTACATATGTATTGTAATTTTTAGCGAGTTGTTATTATTAAATAAATGTAGCTAGGATCTACTGGAACGCGTTTTGTCTAATTTTCTACTTAAATTTTTATAATAGTAAAATAAGGATTCCACATTTGAAACGACTTAGCCAATTAGTCGTCCGTAGGAGGATCCATGCGACTGATAATTGCTTTTGCAAATGCAGCTGCAAGCAGGGCCGAATGAGGTTGCCAATCTCTTCTTCTTGTTCCGTCCTATAAACAATCAACAGGAAATGTTATCGACAATGTCTCGAAATTGGTCATACTTTTATTAATTATATTAAATAACCTTGTAATCCGCAATGCCTCGAATAACGACAAAAGCGTCTCGTCGATTTCCAATCACACTTTCCAAGACAGAATCAAACTCGGAATCAAATGCTAGGATTCCAAGTCGAGCAGCCAATTCTTGTCGTAAGTGGTCATCTCTCGCCACTTGTCGACCGGAAGCTACAGGTCCCAAATGCACTCTTGACTCCATTATTCGCCTGGGCTCATTGTAAGATGGAGTAGGATGGGCGACCTCGATCACATCTTTCTCGCCGATTGCCATGTACAATTTGTCCGACATGGGTGGTGGTCTGGCAAAATCTGCTTCTTGTTCGTTTAAAATGTCCAACCCCATCTCGGCATATTGAGCCCATTCTTCCTCACCCTATTATTATTATATATATGGTAATAAATATTGGATATTCACATCCAAGTAGTAGACATAACATAATCATACTGGTACTTGTATAGCCAGCAAAAATAGCTATGCAAAAATATTTTACCTCAGCTTGAATTTGAGATGCGATTTCTTGCAGGATAAGGCTAGATGGAATCCATCCTCGAGTTTCAAACTCTAATCCGCCTGATGATTTTTCGGTGGCTTTATCGCAGTGCAGGTAAACAAATCTAATGGATTTGAACGAAATTTAGTACAAACATGTTGTAAATTTTTGCATGCATTACTTACTGTTGATTTTCAGTTTGAGTGGAAACAACAACATCCCCCAAGCGGACATGCTTATTGTAATCAGTAAAATGTGGAACGCCACCTCCAACACCGATTAAGAATACGTAATCTACTTTCTGGAATGTTCCTACAAACGAAAAGAACCTCTGTTAGATATGTTAGTGTTCAAATATCAACTTAATTCGATCAGATAATTACCCAAAAGTCTCGTCGTAGTGTTCCCTGCAGCAATTATTGCTTCACGAGTATGGCCAACGCTTGGGAGCTTTGTTGAAACGACTCGGTGAGCTCCCATATTTCCCAAAGTATATACGTTAGATTCGCCTATAATATGAACATATATTTAAATATATATATATTTACATATATATTGTATCGACAGATTGAAAAGAAAAATTTAAATTGTATGTACCATAACCAAAATGATTAGATATGGTATACTCACCCACAGTGGTATATCTAACAAATGTTTCCTGATTTTCAATCATAGCATCGACAGCCAATTTCTCGCAGTATTGTGCTGTAATGATGGCAATTGTGGGTTGCTTTGCTTTTACCATTTTTGGCATTTGCTTAACAATCTGTGGAAGAAACATTTTACATACACAAGTGTCTTATATAGAGCTATATTCATTTCCTCGAAAGCAATCACAATAGAAACCGTCATGTTATATTATAGTACGTACTTTTACGGTCGTTTCATTCTGCACGACTCGAGTGAAAGCATTATTATCTAACGCTTTGATCAATCCCTTGGACTGAAGAACACTAAGATGGCATCTAATTTCATCTTCTCCACTTGTTGTTTGCCTGTGATTGAATGACATGAATTAGAGTAGGCATAAAATTATAGACCCTTTTGAAAACATATTCAGTAATTTAAATAAAATATTGAGCAATTTGCCTGGAAATATCTTGAAGTGTCAAAGGATTTGGGTAGGAGGATTCAATCATCTCGAGAAGCTTTTCTTCTGTAGCTTCTACTCTTCCAGCATGGGCTGCATCATCTGCGGACACTATTAATAACGAAAAATAAGTAAATTATCTAATTTCGATTGGATAATCACCCAACATCAAATCAAATTCAATCAAATCTTGTTAACAAATGACAAAATAACAACATTAATATAGTCTAATTTGTTCTACTGTTTAAAAGGTAAACTTTATCATGCAGGCATCTAATCATCGCATCATCAGCAACAATATAATATAATAATAATTAGCTTATTACTGTTACAGTTCATTATTACGCTACAGTAATCAATACTTTGTGCAAAAGTTATTCTTTATCTACCTGTTAATATAACGCCCACAACGTAATTTTGATAATGACAAACTCTCAAACTAAAAAAATTGCCAACCTTTTCTTTGACTAGAGGATTTTTCTAATGAAATGAGAATAGCACGGCGATCTGCTGTTACAATAATAATGAGAGAAGGATAAATAAATTATAAAGCCCTCGCCCACTTTCCAACAACTTGCAAAATATAGTCAAAATAAGCTAACAAAAATAAAATATGAACTGAAAAACTGAATCATTCATCCATTCATCAAATATTATATTTCTTAGGCTTCAGGTCATTATCATAAATACTGAACTTACTAGGTCGCTCTGGAGGCCGATCCGTTTCTTCCAACTGCCTAAGCTCGATTTCTACTTTTCTCAAGTACACGTATCGAACTTGCATGAGTTTCATGATTTTCATGATAAACCCGACGTAATCTACGATATGAAGGGAAGAGCAGCATAATAATTTCAAACAGCTTTGAAATACCACCACTACTGCTTTCAAATTCCAATCGAATGTGGTAATGTGAACCTACCTCTTGGAAATTCCGTGGGGCTGACCAGCTCTTTGAAAAACTCTTGACAAATAACGAGAAAATACATCAGAATTTTGTTACCATTGAATTTTTGAACTATTTTATATTTGCTACCCTACCTTGAGCATACTTTGCACGATCCGATATGGGAAATTCATCCTTGAACCAGAATCGCAACTGTCGAGACTCCAACATGTGCTTCTGAGTTGTTGCATTAATCAGAAAGACTTTGAACTCAAGGGACAACTGAGGGGCGGAATGGTCTACGTCTACAAAAGGAGACGATTCGTCATGAGCATACATCATAACATTTAATAAAGATGAGTGAATGTGATGAGATGGTAAATAATAATGTAAACTAAACAAGCATCTTCTTACCAGCTCCGTTGGTTATCTGTTTGTTGATAATAATCCCGGTGTGATTCCCACCCGCGATATGGACCTTGTTTGCGTCCACGGAATCCACTCGTCGCCTCTCCATCGCGATCGTGGTCGACTTCTCCGTCTTGTTCTTTGTCGTCATCACGATTTGCTCGTCTATCAAGTAAAAGTTTCAAGTATAAACTTTCAACATTAAAAGTTTTACGAATTCTATGAATATCACAAGACCAAGACCAAGGTTTTCATGAATTTGAATATGCATCTGCAAATATCTTGATTAATTCGCTCACCTTTATACATGGTGTCCATTGTGCTGCTCGGCATTGAAGGACGTGGTCAACGTGGACTTCAATTAATAATAATAATAATATATTTTTAATTAATTATTTTCTAAGCAACAGAAGAAGCAGGTGAGAGCAATGTTTCCTCCGTTCGCACCCGGAATTGCACTGGAAATTTGATTGAATAGACTTTTCCCAGACCAGACTTTTAGTGACTCCTGCAAAAATAAGCAAAATCAATAAGTGCGGATCGACAAACTTACAAAATTGCACTGCTAATGTAATGTAATGATGATTGATAAATCGATACGTACATAGACAAAAGTTTAAAAATCAATTACTACTTTGAAATGTTTCTTGTTTTTTTTACAAGCAATTTTTTTAAATTCACGCCAATTTTGATATAAATATCGTTGCACGTATTTATGAGGGAAGAAACCTAGCAAATAAATGCTGGCACAAAATTGCCTGACTACAACGGTGTTATGCTTTCTGTTGGGAGTTAGTAAATTGATTAAATTGTGTATATTTCGAAACAAGGCCGCACGCTATGATGGCATAAGTATCATATTGCAGACAGTAAAATGTGTAGATTGGGGGCTGAGTAAGGGAATTGTTATTCATGATTTCCAAAATATGTGTGCTAAAAATGCTGCCACAGACATGTTGTGAGGTGAGAGGCCTTTATTCACGGTGGGATATAAATAATATAAATATTTAATACCGACCACTCAAGTGCCCTTAATTGGACTAACTCACATTTCCGTTAGAATAATTCAATGCTGTCCCAAATCCAACTTATTCACACTCATGCGTTACCCTTGAACTCTGTAATAATTAATCATGATTCGGCAAACTGAACGGAACCCGGCATGACAAAGTATATGCATGTATGTGTAAGCTCAATTAGAGAGCAATTAAAATTTTGCATGTAATAACCTTGTTGCTTAAATCTTTATAAGTTTCCAAAAAGTATCCCAGAACAATTATATGCATGCGACTTTCCATGTGCAAAGCTCAGAAATGTGTTAGCTTAACTAGACCAGGAGATTGCACAATATGCATTTTCATACAATTGATATTGTATGACACAGGATGAACATAAAAAAGAAATGATAATTCATGAGAGTATTTATCAAGAGGATCCGATTATTATGATGTGTTTATATTAACGTTTGAACTATGACACAAATTTAAATAAAAATCTAAAAAAAATCCGCATTTCCAAAGTTATTTATATACATAAATAGTAATACCTACCAATACATAATAAGAATTGGGTGTCAGGCTGTATTTTAGATTTTGGGAAGCATTGTTTTCTGATAGCAGAACATTTCCGCTCATAATAATTGTAATACACAATGGACGCAATATAGATTTTACTGTGCATGGTATGCTACATTCCATCCCCTATAGCATGTCCTATAGCTGTCCTCTCCCCAATGTTTACATTCTCGTTTTTTTCGATGGACGGATGAGTGACTTTATATGTTAAATGTGACCATTATTCGAAACTTTGACTAATTCCGGGATGACATCATAAGTATTTTAGTTTGGAGACGAGTGACTGCCGATGATCTGTTTTTCCTCTCTAAGCAAGATATGAAACATGAGAATTTGCAGACTTGTTGGCTAAACAGTTTATTCAGAACGACGACGAGTATACTGCACACAATAATAAATATCTCGTCTACCCACACTTTACTTTATGTACTACACAGGCTCCTCTTGTTACTAGATTTGCAATTGAGAAAATATTTATAAATCATAACCCGAGAAGACATTAAACTATTTTAATGCGTCACAAATAAGAGTCATTTTTCGAATGGTCAAATGTGATTGTGACTCATGTGAAGACGACGATGATGATGATGTTGTGCTAAAATGGCCTTAAGCAAAACGGAGACAAAGAGACATCATCATGTGGGTGTTAAGCAGAACTGTGCATGTAGTGCAAATTCGCCAACTACGTAATCTAGGTGTGAGGCATGATTAGTTGGATGGAGATGAGTCAGAGAATATGCAAAAATGAGCGGGTTTGCAGTCACAACGTGCCAGCATTGGTACAAAGCAGGTGTGGTGGTCATCCGTTACTCATTTTTAGACCTACTGAAAACCATCTTATGGAGATGGATGAATTAACCGGTGGAGAAATATGAAGTAAGCCTAACTGTCAATTTAATGAATGCAATATATCCACACTGGAGAAAATTTAAGATTGAGTAATGAGAAAAAATCTCAGGATTCGGAAAGTTCCATGATTCATGGAGTTTGGTAATCACTTTTCACAAGCGTTGACTTATTAATAGACAAACGACAAACATGGCTTAAATTGAAAGATTCAATTACTCAATATTTTTTGAGACTGGATATTCTGTCATAAAAAATGTAAATCCTTCACAAATCCCACCAGTCACCAAAGATGTTGAACATTCCTCCTGGCACGCTAGTAATGCAACCTCTTTTTGGAAGGATGGTATTGATTGTAAAATTATTTTTAGCCACCACACACCAGAATAGGAAATGTATTTTGAACTTTTTTTTAATTTTCTGGCCTCTTTGAAATTTTTTGCTCGTTTTTCTCTAATCTAAGTGCATTCCGTACAACACTTACAAATGCAGACCTGTGTATAAAATGCTTGAAAATTAGAAGTAACAAAATCCAACTTGTGAATCTGTAAATTCTTGCAACTTACTTATTTTACTGGAGAATGATTCCGTTTATATTCCAACGATCACTTACAATTAAATAATTCTATTAAAATAAGATGCCACGTTTTGTATCATTTTAGCACTCACACAATTGGAAACAGTTTCACCACACAATTTTTTCAACTCGACTGAAATTAGTGTAATCTGTATTAAAGTGAAAACGACTCACTTTTCTGAAATGAGAATTGGGCACAAGTTATGTACACGTATCTTTATTGCTTTTTAATAATAATATATTTTTGTGGGATGATAATGACACGACGATCTCGCAGATCAGAGAGCGAATGAAAATGTGTCTGCTATTGTTTCCTCCTCACAGATGTTATGGCTTAAATGTTGTTTTGTAAAGTCACGTCACTCGGTTAAAATAATTGCTCTGCTGCATGTTCTCCTCTCCTCTCTCTCTCTTTTGATAAGATAGATGATCTTTCAACCTTAAGTCAGTCTGAATGTGATGACGCGATTTGAGAGAGTATGTGATGCTGCGATGCACCACCAAGTCGGTTTGCTTCCTTGCACTTGAATCTTGATGTTTACCGTAGTTTGGTTAAAAAGTTTATCATCGACAGATCAAATCAAGACTTGAACACAGTGTGCACCACTATTTAGCACATTTCATGGCATTTTCGAATGCAAGTTCTATATACTGCTGGTTGGTTGGTGGTAACATAACAGAAACGGAAATGGCACGAGTCAACCGATGTTAAAGCAACTTTTCCTCCCTATTTGGGCCAAAGGTATATATAGGGTTTCAGTTTTGGTGGGTAGGATCCATCCAGCAGATGTAGATTGAGGGCGTCTGCTATATTCCAGTTTTATTTCTAGTTCATCTTCTTCCATCCCTTATGGGAGAACACGGGAGGGGATGTGCGTCGTGGTATCTCCCGCTATACGGAGAACCGAGGAACGTAACCTTTTTTGCTCCACTTTTGGGCATTGCTTATTACGTGTCAAACCAGGAAGTCCCATACATACGTACATACGAACATACATTCAAAAACTAACCAACCAACCCCGGGTTCGGTTCGGTTGTGTGATTCACACCCGGCGTTAAATGCATTGTAAATGCATCTCTCTCAGTACAAGATTTTCTCCAGTTGGTTTCGTACCTCGGATGGGATGCATGTATGAGAATGCCGGATGGGGTTAAAAACTTGAAACGGTCTTCCTCATCATAAACAACAACATTACGTATTATGGAAACATGGGATGTAGCAATCTGAATGGGCTATGTGTTTTGTGTGCTCCTACAAAGGTGCATTTTTGAGCTTGAATGAATTCAGAACTCGAAGGGGCATGGTCTAAACTTGGAAATCTGAAACTCGTTTGGAAATTTAAATGTGTGTTTAATGAAGTTTTAGCTACGAGTGATTGCATTTCGGCAAACCTCCCATGTTTTTTATTATTGGGTCTCAAGTTCTAAGTCACCATTCATGCATATTATCTTGCACACATTTTTACCCCTTACCGATACTTTTACTATGGGATATTTTTGGGTTTTTTTAATGAGGCTTAAGGAGGAGTGCTTCCGTACTTGTCAGTAACCGATTTCGATGCCCTATGGACATGTGGTAGTCTCCCATGAGTGTGCTGAAAGGTTCAGTCTGAACCCCTGAAGTGTTTTGACCCCATGACCACATTTGCACCCGCCACACCCACTCAAAGGTGCCCAAAAAACGCTTTCACTCCAGCTTTCACTCACTCAAATCCACGCCAAAAATTCAATTTTAATCTTATTTTGAAATTTCTTTCACCATTACACTCCCAGATAGTTATTTTCTTATATCCAACATCTAACTCAACTTTTTTGATGATTATTTCGCAGGTATAATCTGCGTTGTTGATTACTACAACAATGTTCATTCAGAATTTTAAATTTCAAAAATAGAAAGAAATTCCTAAAGTTGAGTTAGATGTTGGATATAAGAAAACAACTATCTGAGAGTATAATGGTGCAAGAAATTTCAAAATCCGAACAAAATTGGATTTTTGGCCTGGATTTGAGTGAGTGAAAGCTGGAGTGAAAGCGATTTTTGGGCACCTTTGAGTGGGTGTGGCGGGCGCAAATGTGGTCATTGGAGTCAAAACACTTCAGAATTTAATTCCACTGATGGGAGACTACCACATACGGCATCGAAATCGGTTACTGGCAAGTACGGAAGCACTCCTCCAAAGGCGAGGAAGATTGGTACATAACCGCATGCATGTAAATATACACTGCTGTAAAAAAATATATAAATTTTCTTCATCATAAATAACTCTGTCTTGTCACAATGCCTCATTAATGGTAGGTTTCAAGTCCTCTAAAGAAAGGGAGTTATCTTTTATTGTAAAAAAATTGTCCGATGACATAAATGCATATGCAGAGGTCTAAAAATTCCAATTTTCAGACAAAACATTTCTTGACTTCTACCTCCAAGTGCATTAAAATCTACCCCTTTCCATTGTTCCAATTGTCCTCGAATTCCAGTCACTCAAAATCATTTATTTGTGTAATGAGGAGTCAAATGCCGCCTGGATTGTGGATGGGAGAGAAACAATCATAAATTCTACGAAACATTGTTAGATCTGGAATGAGGCGAATGAGTGCAGTTGAGGCCAAAAGTTCCAAGAAGGGTAAAGAAATAACCTAAATCCTCTTTACCATTAGGTTATTTGACTATAGTTTTCAGTTCTCTCTTTCTATGTGCATGGTTATTCATAAGCATTAAAAAGGTCAATTTTGAGGCAATTCTGTCCAGAAATAAGTAATCCTTGTGTCGAAAAATTCTGAGATAATAATGCCATGCAACTAATACAAACTCCTCAGTTTCCTGCAGACGCTTGAAGCTAAATTTACAAACTTGAGCATAATTTAGTGGGTTAGCCCAATGCCAATTTTATCTAATTACATGTACGTAATTTTTATCTTGATAAATATTACACATAAAACTTCCAGTTATTACGTGCAACGTGAGAAACAAGACTTTGTCCCTCATGAATTATTAAATTCAAAGTGAATACATGGTAAGTATCTTTCAAGAAAGTCGATACATAAGCTATTTATGCAAAAAGGACATATTTATATTGATCTCTGAAATATTTCCTTCATACATTCTCATACCTCTAATGAAATGAATTTCCATGTGCTGTTTTCAATACTGTGAAAATGCATGGGTTTCAGGTAGTGAATAAAGCTGGGCAAAGCTCGCTCATAATCGAGCCTGAAATCTAATAACATTCCATAAATATCGTTTCTACCACAATTTTCATTCGAATGAAGCGTCCACTCAAGCCGAATGTTTTCTGCAATTATTGGCCCCTGTATTATATCAAGTTCATTAATCAGGTAGTGAATGATATAGAGATTCCTGGCTGCACTTTAGCATAAAAGTGGTGCCAGCAGCAGAAATATAAGCTGGCTTCCTGTTAACATATCTGCTCTCTGCCTTTATTTTGTGAAACCTTCCTTGCTCCTCTGCAAGGAGGATCAGGAATGGTTTCACCAAGATGGTGGCCGTGGTACACTGACATCACATAATATCCTACCTTTTGTACTCGCTGGCCCACACTGCTCTACAGTCTACTTCGTGGCCTCACTCTCAAAATTCTTTAGAAGATTATAATACATGACAAATTTTTATAACTCCAAATCAAATCATAGCCTTATTAAGGAGTTCATTAGTCTGGAGAAAGTAGAGGAAGTAAACGTAATTTTTGCGAGACTTTAACGCCAAAAATTATTTTAGGAATAATCTAAATAAATAAATATTTTTTTTCTATTTCAGATTTTAACTGATGACTCGTTGGAAATGTTCAGCACGATAATAGAATCTCCTCTTCCTAGTCTTTAATTGCTTAAAGTTTTTAAAAAAAGTTACAAAGTTGAACGAGAACTACTAACGGGACGTAGTGAAAGGATATATTTTTACGAAAAAGACGCAAAATTGGGAGAAAGACAGTGTCCACTTTTAGTACTGACTGAGTATCGATAAGGAGATATCTTTCGTCGTCGTTGGAGAAAATTTCTTGGTCGTTTGTCTTTCATATTTTTAACCATTCGGTCGCCCACCACCCACGCACCTACTTTCTCCGTCTCCAACGACTGCGGTGGCGGCGTATAAAATATTTGGTAAAGGGATCATCATCATCATCAGGTAAGTTCGGTCGAAGAATATGCTTTTTTAGGATTATTACGCATTAGTATAGTATTATCGTTCATTATTATTACGGTGGAAAGCTCAATTGGGCCGAATTTTGTGTAATTGAAAGGAGAAAGTAACCGTACCCGTGCCTTAATTATGTGTATTATTATGTGTAATTTGGACGTGTCTTATTAACTATTAAAAAGACGTGATGTACAATAAGTACATGGATAGGTGCTCGAAGGATGTACAAGAAAAGATCAAAGGCATCAAATTTCTTAAGCTGACTGGATACGAGCTGCTTATAATTTAGTGAAGATGGGAATAAAGGAAGTTTTTGCGAGTTCCAAAATATGAGATCATAGATGGTTCAATTGTCGCTGTTTCAATGCGAATTAATAATTTTCCTCGTTCTTTTGGATCGTGATTTGTCCTCTATTCATTCACTACCCATCCGACCAGTGAAAGGGGAAATTACATATGGGACAAAGTATTGTGTCAGAGGGATTCAAATTACACAGCACGTTGTCCCTGTGATGTTACGTTTGATGATTGTTTCGCAAATCAGAAACTTGGGCGGATGATAAAATATAATTTCCACAATTCTACATAACATCCACATGGTTTTATTTGCGAAAGGCCGTTAAATCTTGAAATTGGCCACTTCACAAAGAGAGAGAGAGCGAGAATATTTTGCCTGGTGTTTCACAAGACAAAATTGTTATTGCTTGTCGAATTCATGTTTCTTGAGCTTTATGACGACCACGGCGATGGTTGTTATTTCAAACCTCTCAGAAAGAGAAAGAGAGTTACAACATCTTGATGGCCCACTGACTGGAGGTAGCACTTACCTGAATGAGATATTTTATTATTTCGCGAATTGAATTTTAGATCAGATTTTTTTGAGTGACAAGAAGACGAGGATAGACGTTGCGTCTTTAGTCAGTTTTGGGTGGGGGGTAGGATTGCACAAAGATTATGCGAATGCAATATAATTTAATTGGTGGAAATCATGTCGCATTTTCCATAAAAAAAGGTAATTAATTCTCTTGGTCATTAAATTGTTGAGTAATTTCTTCCATCCATCCGAGGGGGAGAAATTTGGTCCAAGTTTACCACCTCGATGGCCAAGAACATGACACATGTAGTATCCATCCTCTTTTATGGTATCATGACATCTTCTTGTTCATACATGTTCAAGCCGTAAAACCGTTCTTGCAGCTCAAATTCGGTATGAAATTAATATGAGATGAGGAAGGCTGGCAAAACTGCGACAGTGAAAGGGATTCATCTTCTCCTTTTACCCTTTAATTTCTTATAGACGTGTTTTCGCAAGTGGAAATTTTAGTGAAAGAGTGTGTCTGTGTTATTGAATTTCAAGCAGAAAAGCACACATATACACATATCATATCTACTACTTACGGTCTAACTGTTTCCTATTTTGACACAACCAGGCCGTACAACAAGCACTATTGAATCCTCATACAAGGCTCAGTTACAAATTTTTAGTGTTGTCTTTATGCCCCTCTTTCTGGCTGTAAAGTTTTCGCAAATGACGAGGAGGAGCAAGCTTGTTGAATTTTATGAGATTTTGCTTTGTTTCTTGTATTTTCAATTCCTCTTTAGAATTTTTTACCCATAACGTGTCCCACCTTCCAGAAGAGGAAAGAAGACATGTATGTATGCACGTGAAGTGTGAGTGCCAGTGTCTGTAACCAAT